ATTTCCTAGGCAGTAGGTATGCTGGACATTTTTCCTCCCTAGGTGCAGCACTTTGCATTTCTCCTTGTTGAATTGCATTCTGTTGTTTTCTGCCCACTTGTCTAACCTGTCCAGGTCTGCTTGCAGCTGTGCCCTGCCCTCCGGCGTGTCTACTTCTCCCCATAGCTTTGTGTCATCTGCAAACTTGGACAGAGTACACTTCACTCCCTCGTCCAAGTCGCTGATGAAGACATTAAAGAGTATCAGTCCCAGGACCGAGCCCTGCGGGACCCCACTGCCCACATCCTTCCAGGTCGAAACCGACCCATCTACCACTACTCTCTGGGTGCGACCCTCTAGCCAATTCACCACCCACCGGACTGTGTAGTCATCCAAGTCACAGCCTCTTAACTTGTTCACCAGTATGGGGTGGGATACCGTATCGAAGGCCTTCCTGAAGTCTAAGTACACGACATCCACCTCTCCTCCTGTATCCAGGCATTTCGTAACCTGGTCATAAAAAGAGACCAGATTAGTCAGGCATATTTGTCTTTGGTGATTTCTCCCTGTTTCCACTTTTTATGTGCTCCCCTTTTGGCCCTTAGGCTGCCCTGGATTTCTCTGGTCAGCCAAGGAAGCCTCCTGGCCCCTTTCCCTCTTTTCCCTTGCATCGGGATCTTCTTGCTTTGTGCCTGAAGGATCATTTCCTTAAGGCACAGCCACCCTTCTTGGGCTCCCATCACTTCAAAACTCCTACTCTGCAGTGCGTCTTTGACTAATCATCTGAGTTCACTGAAATCAGCTTTCCTAAAGTCTAGTACTTTCACCCTACTAGTTACCATACTCACTCGACGTTTTATAAAGAATTCTATTATTAGGTGATCACTGTCCCCCAGATGGCTACCGATCTGTAGGTCCCCTACCATGTCATCCCCCGTTGCCAATACCAGATCCAGTATGGCATTCCCCCTAGTGGCACCGTGTACCTCCTGTGTCAGGTGGAGGTCCTGTACACAGGTTAGAAACCTGTGTGAACGGTGGGACTTTGCCGTCTGCGTCTCCCAGCAGATGTCTGGGTAGTTTAGGTCCCCCATGACTACCGCCTCTTTAGCTTTTATGGTCTCTGAGAGCTGCCTCAGGAGCCCTGAATCTATTTCTTCCCCTTGGTGTAGGGTCCTGAGCTGGACTCATGCTTGGCTTCCTAGTTCATAATGCCCATAAGAATGTTTACTGAAGTATTTGTCTTTCCCACACCCCAATACAAGTCCTGCCAAGCATCAGAGTGCATCTCAGATGCACATACCATTCACTTACGTTTCTTCTGAACAACAGTAATAGTCTGCAGTCAAAAGTTGCTTTAAGCCACCACCAATTCTGGTAGAAGTGTGAAAAGCTGAATAATTTTGCTTTGTTAAAAGGTACCTGAGGAGGAAGGAGGGGGAAAAGGCTTGTGCTAAACCAGCAAAATTTGACTGCTTCAAAAAGTCTATTCTCTGGAAAGACCTGTCTATTCAGAGGAAGGATTGTGTGTTGCTATCTCCTCTTCATAGGGTACTGGCAAGTGTTGTCCTTTGTAATCACAGTCATGGGAAGGGACTGAGCACACTAGCACTGCTTAATGGAACAGGAATGACTTGCCAGTGAAAAGTTATGAATGGCAAGAGACAGGATAAGAATGCATTCAGAATTTCTTTAATTGTCTAACACTAAAACTTCTTTACAGTGTCATGGCAATCTACAATTTTACCATCTTCCTGAATTTTATTCTGCCCCCACATCTGAAATACAGAATAAAAATGACATTTTAAAACAGAACACATGGCCATTTCTACAGGACTTCAGTGCTTCAAGTGCATGCTTTGCACCCTTTAGTCTCTTCATAAAACTGAGATCACCAGGAAAAAACTTTGCATAACAACTTTTAAAGGCTCTCTCCTCCCCCAACCTTCATGTTACAATAGCAGTATTTTCCCTCATTGTTTTAGGTTGGAAACCTATCAAAATGGGCTCAGTTTGCACCCCAGAAATGGAAGAAATTTGGGGGAGGGCAGGGGGGAGAGAAATAGCTTCAATTAATTTTGATATTATTGGAGGGTACCAGAAGGCTAAAGTTTGAGAGGTTAGCAAGGAAGGGTAAGCCTAGAGTGAAAGGATGCATCTAGCATCCTATACGGCTTTGGAAGGTACCCTGTATTACATTAACATGGAGGGATTTTGTTATGGACCATCAAAGAAGCTGTTGCTACGAAAGACAGAGGAGACAATCTTTCCAGTAGAATTAATAGTGCCTTCGCTATCTGAGCTGGACTCAGAATCACTGCTTCCTGAGTAGGCTCCGAGGCCAGGCAGGATACCGATGCACACAGCTGCCGAGGGACAGTGGACTGAAGAACCACTCATTGAGCTGCTCCCAAGCGGAACACAAGATGGTTTTTCTGAAAGACATTAAAACCATTAGTTGCCAAAAGGCAGGAGCATGCTTGTCTGCCCCAGCAGCTATTGACCAGTATACAACCATCAAAATAGCAGCATGCCATACACATGGTTTTGTAATTTGAATACTGTGAACATTCCCTGAGTTACTACAAATAAAGTGGCTTTGTGCTACACTAAAGCTTCTTCCAGCAGGAAAGACTGTATGGATCTCTATGGGGATTAATAAAGGGATATGGAGCTTTTCATCTCTTAATTCAAATCTAGCCCTGGACTGTGAATAGAGGCTGTCTGCCGGATGCATGTCACAGGCACTACATTCACTAAATAAAAATAAATGGTTCTGCTCCATATAATTGAAATATTTTGCCATGTAGTAACTAGGTAGGAGAGCGCTTTATTCCACTGCTCTCCCACCTTCCATAGCTAATTAGCTTTCCGAATGCTGGAAAAAAAGAATTAATTGAACAGATGGAGTTTTAGAATGTGCCTTGGGTTGTAGTTACAAAACTTTAGCTTACTATCAAAATACCCCCGCAAAAATGGAGCAAGTCAATTGCAGCCATAACTGTCAGGACCAAAATCTAACTTGAACCTCTTTCTGCTTGCCCACTGTCAGGTCACAGAACAGAAATGTTAATTGGGAAGTGTAAGATGATAATAATAAAAATAAATAAATACAAAAATAAAGTGCAGGAAGTCCTTACTTTCCCTTTCAGTTTGGATGACAAAAACCAAATTCGTTCCCAAATAGTGCAAGAACAGCTGACGATTGACACATCAAGGTAACCTTTTATAGAAGCAGGGCATTGGCTGCTGTGATTCTGCTCCATTTTATACCTATGCTTTTTTCTTGAATTTGAGTTTTATACTTGCTACAGATTGTGGCAGGGAGACCTGCTATACAAGATGGTATTTTACAGTTTCATAAAAGCACTAAAGCAAAAGGAGACTAAAAAATACTAGAGACTTTAGGAGCACATCTGCATTATCTCAAAGTGAGCCAAGGAGCATCACCTAGGACTGTTCACTTGCTTCTGCTCAATGCAAGTCAAAGCATGGAAAGTAGGTAGCATAGGTAGTTCAGCACAGCCCTGGATGTACGCCAAGTTACACGGCAGAGAGCAGCTCTCTGGACACATTCTTGGGGCCATAATGAATCTGCTACACTCCCTATTTTTGGAGCTTTGGCACACAATAAGTAGGGCTGAGTGGAGGAGCCATCTTTCTGGGCAATACTCCTAGGCTCACGATGGAGAGTGTGGACAAGCCCTAAATTTCACCCCGAGAAAAGCCAGGGGCAACTGCTAGCTGAGAGGTGGGTGTTTCCATACAGCAGCCAAATATCCCTTGGCTGTTTGAAAAGCAGCCTGACCAATACATACAGCACTGCATAGTTATACATGGCCAATACTGTCATAGCACAGGAGCCTTGTCTGAACCAAGACTGCACATGCACATTTTTAAGCTTAAAGTGGCTGCAAGGTTAACCAGTGGCTGTAATGACATCTCTTCTCCTATACAAAGTATAGGTTTCCCTTGCTTTATGCTGCATGCGTTCCTGGAAAATGGTGCATAATTCAAATTTGCATAAAGGGAACCCCCTTTACAATGTAACAAATAGGGATATGTTCCAAGACCTCAACTATACTGGCCCCAGACCCATTTCTACCACTTTTACTAGACAATTTTGGTACTCACCAACAGCAGACAGTACACACAAGCACAGGGTGCTAGTGAATGTTTAGTTGGTGTGGAGAGGGTG